TGGGTCCCCTGGGCCTAGCGTTGAGCTGGCCCTCAGGAGCTGTGCCCAATGACAAATCCATGAGTCATGAAGTGGGAGCAGGGCCCAGGAAAGAGCAGCTTTCCCGGAGCCAGAGAGAACATCCACTCCTCCCAGGTAGGAGTTGAAGGAGCTGAAGTGTGGGGGCCCCTTGCTGGGGAGCCACAGCAGACCCCCAGCCTGAGATGTCCTTCCTCTGCACATTTCCTGATGTGAGCAGTCATAGAACAAAGGTCGTAAGTCCTGCTGTTGGAATCTCCCCGTCACTCAATGGCTCATTCAGTAGACACTCAGAGAATCACTTCTGGGCCAGGTGCCACTCTGGGCACTGGGAGTGCAAAGATGGTGGCGAACACAAGGAAAGTTGGTTGCTCTGCAGGGGGACCGTCTTGAGTGTTCCCGAGATTGTCTTTCTTCTCATCACAAAGAGGGAAGTCGACTGAATAATCACAGAGTTTCAGGCTCCCTTCCCCACCTGTCTCGGACAGGCATGGAACCAGCAGACTGTGAAAGTATTCCCAGGTCTGTGGGAGAGAACAGGAGTACATGTACTTTAAGGACTAGATTTTAATAGAAATATAGATGCTTATTGTTTGTGTTGTGCTTTTTAAGATGGAAAATTGGTGTGTTGAAATCTCAAGAGACTGATAATAACATGTTTGGGGGACTTGAAGTTTCCTTACAATTAAGTGATGCTCCACCTCCTCACCCCCAGCAAAGGAAAATTAAGACAAAACAAAGCCCCAAATGCTCGCAAGCTCAAAACCTTCCTTACTCAAAGGATATGCCCAAGTTCTCCCTGCAGCCCCCCAGACCCTGCACCATTTGCCCCGTCACCCCCACTGTCCTCACTTCCTCCCATTTCCTCTCCTCCCACTCACCCCCCAGTCATGGGCTCTGGCCTCTCGGAGCTCCTGGCTGTTCCTGAAACAACTCAGGCACTCTCCGACCTTAGGTTCTTCGCACAGGCCTCTCCCTCTGCCTGGAATGCTACTCCCTCACTCTCTACTTGACTTCCTCCTTACCTCCTTCAAGTCTTTGCTCAAATGTGACCTTCTTAGTGAGGCATTTGCTGACTTTATGACTTGAAATTATGTTCCACACTCTCTACCCACTTGTTTTATATTTCATCACTCTCTAGCATATTTAACGTTTTATTTACCCCTAGTTATCCCTTCCCCCACTTGACTGTCAGCTCTGGAAAGGCAGGAATTTTGTCCAGTTTTGTTCACTGCTGTGCCTCCAGTATCAAGAACAGGGTTAGGCACACAGTAGGTATTCAATACATGTTTACTGAATGGGTGAGTGCTTATGATGTGTCAGGCACTATGCCGTGTGCTTCGATAATTAGTAACCGATGAGAAAAGATAATATTCAAGGAGACCTGGTGCAGGTTTTCTGCTGAGTGCTTTAGAAAGACTGCCCACGTTAATTACACCCTTGATCTGGGCCAGGCTTGTAGTTCGCTGAGTTCTGGCTCTGGGGGAGTGAGAAGGGGTGAGTGGCTTCTATGATTAGTTCTGTTTCGCATGGAGAGAAACCAAGGCTCAGAGAGGCTGTGCCATTTTTCTTGGAGAAGGCAATGAGCAGAACTTGAGCTCAGCATAGCCAACCTCCAGAAACCAAGTTCTTCACGCTGTGTCCTTTTGCCTCCTGATGCATTGCCTCGCCCAGTTTTCACAGCACCCCTATAAAGTTTGTACTTTCGTTGTACCTGGTTGTCAAAGGAGGCCCCTTGGACTCAGAGAAGTGCAATCATTTGCTCAAGGACCCACAGCAGCAGAGTGACAGAGCCTGGATTCTGAGCCAGGGTGACTCATCCCAGGGGTGGATCAAGCAGGTTGTCATGATAGCAGGGGAGTGAGCCTGCTGCAGATACAATGTCCTCGGGCTGGGCAGGGGCCAGGGCTTGAGCTGAGGGTCTCAGCAACTTGCCTGAGGAATTTGGTTTTTAAAGCTCAGCCAAGAAGGGCACTTAACCTATAAGACCTGGGACACGCCTCTGCCCTCGGGTCACAGGCTGTGGGCTAAGAGAGCTGTGAAGGATATAGTCATGCTAATAACCGACACACAGTGCTGGTTCTATGCCAGGCCTTGGGGTGCGTGTATCTGTATCTAAAAATGCTTTACAACCCTAGAAGAGGCACTGCAGTGGTCCCCACCCGCTTACACACAGGAAATATAGTACAAGACTCCCAGGGTATTGGAAACCACAGATAGTACCAAACTCTATATATACTGTTTTTTTTTCTTCTGTGTGCACCTACCTACAGTAAAGCTTAATTTATAAATTAAGCACAGAGATTAACAATAATAATAAACTAGAACAATTATAACAATATCCTACAATAAGGGCTAGGTGCATGTGGTCTCTCTCAGTGAGGACGTTCACCTTTTCACTTAAAGGCAGCACTGTATGGCTCCTCTTTGGCATCTATGAATTGCTAGCATCACTGCCCTTGCACACTGGGGCCATCATTAAATAAAATGTGTTATTCGAACCCAAGCACTGTGATACCATGGCAGTTGATCTGATAATCAAGCTGGCTGCTAAGAGACTAATGAGGAACATGTACAGTGTGGACACACTGGACAAAGGGACGATGCAGCTCTGGGCTGGATGGAGCGGGTTGGCAGGAGACTTCCTTGGACTACTCAGAATGTCATGCCATTCCCAGAATTTTCCATTTAACATTTTTGACTGTGGTTGACTGGTGTTAACTGAAACTGTGGAAAGTGAAACCACGGATAAGGAGGGGACCTACTCTATTATTATATAGTTGAAGACACTGAGGCACAGGGATGTTGTCACCTGCCCGAGGTCACACAGCTAGCAAGTGATTGAGCTGAGACTCAAATCTGGAAGAAAAAATGGCTAAGGGAGAGTAGGTGGCCACCAAACACTGACCTGGGTACTCACACCCATGTGGGTAGGCACGGCAGAATAAAGGTGTAGAGTAGCAGGAATGAGGAAGCTCTTTATTTCCATGACACACTCACTACGCAAGAGGGAAAATACAGCATATATGATATGTATCATTTGTATGAAAACAGAAACGTGCATTTGCACAGCATCTCAGAAAAGGCACATGAGGTACTGGGAACATTCGCTGGGGGTGGACTCAGATAGGAGGGTGGGAGGGTTCTCTATGTGCCTTTGCAAGTTTGGTACTATGGTTACACAGCCAACAATTGAACTGAAAATTTAGAAATTATGTTTATATAAGCACTTTCTTAGGGTGCACAAAAAATGTTTTTAAAAACCTCTGATGCCATGGCTTGTCCATAGTGGCACAGAGGGAAAGACAGCTGCGGGCCCAGAAGTGGGAGGGGGCTCAGCTTCTCACAGCAGGCTGGCTGGATGACATTTCGAGTTTTGTGCTGTTTAAATCACGTAAAAATGTGACAGTGCTGCTACAATGGATTACGATGAGGTGGGTCAGCCGGGTAGTTCTGCACATTCTGACAGAAAAGAAACTCCAAAACGTGCTCAGAGAGGCAGCACAGAACAGGAAGATGATCTGTAGCCCTGGCCAGTGTAGCTCAGTTGTTTGGAGCACTGTCCTCTAATCCATAAGGTTGTGAGTTTGATCCCGGGACAGAGCACACGCCCAGGTTGTGGGTTCACATGGGTATTTCTCTCCTTCTCTCTCTAAAATTAATAAGCATGTCCTTGGGTGAGGATTAAAAACAAAAATCCCTAACGGGCAGCCCAGGAAGAGGAGCAGTTTGCTTGTGGGCCCACCAAGCACCTCTGGACACACACAACCAGGTCCAGCATGGGTAAAACAGTACACACCTGAGAAGCAGGCCTTCTGTCCGGTTGAGTACTTTTGTCTTTTTCTCCGTGATCACTGCCTTACCCACACCCTCAGTAGGTTTTTGGAAGTTTCCATTACTGTGTGCATTCAGCCTTTGTGCACTTTTGGATATAAAATTCGCAGGGACTTGCTACATAATGGAGATTGGGGTAGGGAATTGGCAGCCCTAGCGATAATGATCCCATTCATGGCCAGGTTCAATTTTTTATTAAATGTCTTCTTGGTGTCTGAGGCAGTGAAGTATCTCTTGTGATGAGGTCCTTTATGGACCTGGGGTCACCTCCAAACCATAGAATGGCTCAATGTGGCCGCTGAAGACCTGTGTCTTAGATTTGGTGAGAAGCCCTCTAGCTCTGTGCTATCCAGTTGTTGCCACTAACCAAATGTAGCTATTGAGGACTTGAAATGTGGTTGGACCAACTGAAAAATTAAATTTTAACTTTAATTTCCATTTAAAAACAGAACATTCACTTCATTGGGAAGTTTTCTTGGACAGTGCTGTTCCTAGACTGTTATCAGTGGTTAAATTGTTTCAGCAGAAAGTAAAACCCACTCCTAAATTGACTTTAATATGGTGTTAAATTTTCACTCTAAGACTTTTTGTAACAAAGTACAAATGTAGCAATACATTGTTTCCAGACTGTGTAATTACCTACCTTATAGTAAAACCAATTCCTTATAAAAAAGTTACAAAGTAAAATCAGCTTCAGTGGCCTGCAAATAGTGAGAGCAGGAAATGTTCTTTTCCAGGGCAGGCAGCCAGCATCTGGCAGACTCCTGGTCAGGCTTGGCCAGGACCTGCCTGACACCCAGCCTGTTCCAGCAAGAGGAGTGGAGTATGATTAAGAGGGCAGACCACACACACACACTGCCTTCTGGGACCCGGAAGACAGGAAGGGGAAATGCTTCACTTGGGCCCCAATCTTCACACGTGCGCGCGCGCGCGCGCACACACACACACACACACACACGAAAAACCCAAGCTCTGAATCCGCTGGAGTCTCTGAATGCTAACTCTGGGTTGGTAAGAGTTGTTTCACAGAGGAATCCTGCCTCCAACCCAGCCCCCACCTCCAGCCCAGGCTGTCTGGAGGAATAGCCAAGCTCCCACCCCAGTCCCAGTCAGCAGAGCCCTCAAACAGAGTCGCAAGACTGTTCCCCTGAGGTTTAGCATCAGTCTTTAATGCTGTCACGCTGCACATTGACAAGTCACACGCTTTGGTCTTGTGTTGGCAGTGGCAACTTAACAATGAGTCTAAAGGTCTGAGCACCAGACTGTCTTTCAGGGAACACTCATTCCAACGCCGCCCCCCACCCCATTCCTTCTGAATTCCATCACGGGCCCGTACAGAGAGCAGCAGCAGCCGTAGACTGGTTTCATTTGGGTGTACACCAACTTTACACAGAATTATAAAAATGTATTTACAGACGTTCCACAGTGCTCCTATAATCAGGAGCAAAGACCCTTTTATCAAAAGGGATTATATCTAGGGCTGTGCAAAATTCAAAAGGATCAGATCCTTTTAAAAGAGTCCAGAGTCCATTAGTCAAAAAAACCAAAAAACAAAAAACAACCCCCCCCCCCAAAACCTGGGCCACTAGGAAGCCCTGGTGTGCCGGAGACTGCCTTACAGGAAAGGACCTTATGTGAGCACACTTGGCCTCAGAGCCAGAGGTTGAAAGGGCTCCTGACTCTCCAGGGAGAGAGGTGGCTGGGCAAGTCACTCTCACTCACTGAGGCTGGACCAAGAGGTATCACTTGTGGTCACGGCCAGGTAGTTCTGCAAAAACAGTCTAGATTCTCAATTTGAGATGGCGAAAGATGGGTTTCTTCAGAGGAAGAGCAAGACATGGAGACAAATACAGAATAAAACACGAACTGGTCACACAACAGAAATTGAGTATACAGGGAAGGCCTGGTAACCAGGACGGCAGGCTAACATCACCTAACAGCTGCAAGCAAAGGGATGACAGAGGGCTCAAGTCCAGCTGCAGGGCTGCCTCTCAGCTCTGCACAGGGCCTGGAGGAGGAGGGGTGGGCCCCTCCCAGGAGGGCTGCAGGACCCAGTGGAGCAGACGGGAATACTGTTTCCTGCTATCACCACCACCTGTTGCCCTATCGCTCGAAAAACCACTGAAGTCTAATGCACGACTTTGAAAGATTGTAATATATTCTCTGGAAAACATTCAGCAGTACGCAAGCCCTCCCTGGGCCCTCCCACCCTCTCATGGGTCCACAAATGGTGGAACGGTCCAGAAATCCTTGAGCTCTAGAAAGGTCCCTGGTCAGTCCTTGGGGGAACACAGGTGGTTATTTTGGAAGAATCTGCTCAAGTACGGTTCTTGATGTCTGGGGAAGCCTCTCAGGGAAGATTACTTCAAATTCAATAATGAGGTCCCCGCGTTTCTCAGGCATTTTGGGGAGAGGAAGGCCTTCTCCAGGAACTTTTCGCCTCATGCCAGGCCTGATGACATCTTTGAACACGACGGGTATGGTCCTGCCGTCCAGAGTGGGGACATTCACAGTACAGCCACACAGAGCCTTGAAAAGGAAAAGTGACAGATTAGATGAAGGGTACCTTAGGAAGTTCCAATCCTGTCCAGAGGCTGTTGGAGGTAGGATAGGAGTCATCAGACCTCTGCAGCTAAGACCCTGCTCCAGATCTACCCAAGTCACCAGCACAGAAACTCTAGGAAAATGGAGTCCTGATTAGCCTTGTTCTTGCTGCATCTTCCAAGTCTAGCAGGCACCAAGTGCTCAGAAATATCTGTCAAACATATACCAAACTGCTTTGAAAAGCAACCACCTCTTTCTCCACAGACACCATCCTGACTAATGCCTTACCTCCCGAAGGGTGATCCTGGCTGGGTAAATGACATCAGAGCCATCTCTCTTAAATATATTGTGTGGTTTGTCCTTTAAAACAAAGACAATGTCAGCTGGAATGTTGTTAGATGTCTGGTCTCCCTCCTTGGGGAAGGTGATTTTGGTCCCTTCTTTCCATCCCTTTTTCACTTCAATGGTCAAGATTTTGTCTTCATTGCGAATACTCTTCCCATCGGGGTTCAGCCGTTTATGGGAGATCTTCATCTTCTTGGTACAGCCATTGTAGATTTCTTCAAGGGAGACCCTAAGGTCGTGGGTAACAGGGGGGTCTTGCTTCTTTTGGGTGGGCTCTTGGGCAGGGCGGGAGCGGACAAAGTTCATGTTGGTGAAGCTACCCATGCCCATGGGGAAACCAGGGAATGGGTCATCAACGTCCATGCCTTCTTCCCCATTCCGTTGTCCAAAAAAGGTGTCAAAGGGGTTTCGGCCACCAAAGAACTCAGCAAACATGGCATGAGGGTCTCCATGGAATGAATAGCTAAAGGAGGTGCCGTTAGCACCACCGCTGCTCCCACCACTGGGGCCACCGCCCTTTAGGCCTGAAAGACAGAATTGAAAGAAGTCAGAGGAACAAGTATGAAAGACACAGAGATGAGGACTGGGGGGGGGGGGAATGGGAGGGAGTGGGGAGACCAGGCGGGGGGGGGGGTGTGGGGTGGGATGGGAGAAATAGATAAAAAAAAAAAATGTACTTGAAAAGTAACTAAATAAAATTTATATTAAAAATTATTTAAAATAACTTGGGAGTAGGATTAAATTACTTTTTTACAAATGGAATTCACTTTTTGACTACCAAATAATTCAATATTTACAAAAAAAAAAAAAAGAAAAAAGAAAGAAGTCAGATGGTTGCCTGGGGACTTTCCTTAAGGGGAAAAAAAAAGCTTGGGAGCCACAAGAGATGAATTTTATTTGGTGTGTTAGAGAACAAGGAGGAGCCTGAGCTTTTGCCTCCCACTACAGTACCAGAAACAGACTCCCCATCCAGTGCTTTAGTCTGGCATGACTGTAGCAAGGGGGCTCAAACTCTGAGATGATCCTCTCTAGGGGCCACCTAGATCCTGCCACTTCTTCACTGACTCACCCTCCAGCAATGATACAACAAATTAAAAGAATTCACTAAAAAGCTAGATTAAAAAAGAACATTCTAGGGTCAGCTTTCGGTGTTCACTCTTAAGTACTTCAGGGCTGGAGATGTATGTGGGGAGAACAAAAAAATGTTGGTAAAAACCATACTCGTGTTATTTTCAAATTCTCATACCCTGGCACAAACTGCCACCATCCTTATATAAAAAACCACCTAATTTCTTAACACCAAGCACCGAAACCCATTTGCATTATCCATACGCAACTGGACAATCAAGAAAGCTGCTTTTTCTTTCCCTGAGGACGGCTACCCAGGAAGGCTGCGTTAGTGGCGAGCCCCTGAGATCTCTGTACCTGGACAGCCCGAAGTGGGCGCTGGCTGCCATCTACATGCCTGGCTCTGGGCTGGGTAAGCACTTCACAGGGATTAGCTCACTCTACCCTCCCAGGAACCCGAAAGGAAGGTGGACGAAAACTGGCACTACCCTTTGCAGGCTCCCTGCACTCAGATGGTGCTCAGTCAGAAGCCGTGGCCTGCATTCCCAGACGGCATGGCCCCCAACCTCTCCCGGGTCAACCGGGACATGCAGGCCTGCAACGCCAACATCCGAAGAAACCTCCGTCCCCCTCCCTGTCTGCACCCGCAACCAAGGAGGCGGGTGAAGGCACCCAGGGAGGGGCAGCCCCAGACGTGCTAGAAGCTTCTGGGTGAGTGGTGCGGCCAGGGTTCCTTCTCCCATCTGGAGGCCGCCTACCCGAGGGCGTAGGCCCGGGTGGCTAGAGGGCGGGGACTGCTCGCTACACTGGGCGTCTCCCTCCCACTCCCCCCGGGATTCCGCGGCCGAGTTGCGGACCCTCGTTTTCCCCGCCTGTCAAACGGCGAGGTCGCGCCCCCAGCCGCGCGCGCACGAACCTTCCTCTCCGTAGCGGTCGAAGATCTCGCGCTTGCGCGGGTCGCTGAGCACGTCGTAGGCCTCGGCAATCTCCTTGAACTTCTCCTCGGCGCCGGGCTCCTTGTTCTTGTCCGGGTGATAGCGCAGCGCCTGGCGGCGGTAGGCCCGTTTGATCTCCTCGTCCGACGCGCCACGGGCTAAGCCCAGCGTCTGATAATAGTCTTTCCCCATGGCCCCCGCCTGCGGCCCGCCGCCAACCTGTCTACTTCCCCCCGCGCTGCCGCCGCCCCGTCCCGGACTCTATATACCCGTCCGGCGGAAGCTTCCAGAGCCCGCCGGCCCTCTCCAGAACCTTCCGCCACGCCCTCCACACCACAACGACCAATCGCTGCCTCCCAGCCCTCAGCGCGCGACTTCCGGGGCGGGCCCGCGCTGCCAACGGCAGCCCGCGCGTGGTCACGCCTCTTCCTGCATCGCCTTCTGCAACGCCTCTCCAGGGCTCGCGCGCACTTGGGGACAGAGGCCTTGCCCATCGTCCTCGGATAGTCCATCCCAAACTTGTGTCACCGCCCGAGGTGACCGGGCCTGCAGTGCTTCCCACACCTTCCCATACCTTGCCACGACAAGCTGCTGTGAAGAACGTAAACTTGCGCGCCGGCAACTCACCGAGTCGGGTCTTGCCAGGTGACCTTGAGCAAATTGCTTAACCTCTCTCTACCCCACATTCCCCTTTCTGTGAATAAAAATATCCACCCACCCTCTTCTTCTGGCAGTGGGGAGGGGGCAATTTGGAAACCCCAAAACTGTCTATGTCCTCACCAGACAGGTCCCTATAAAGCGAGGGCTTGGGACGAAAGCTTACCTCCCAGAGAGGTAGGTCTCCCCAGTCCTGTTGCTCCTCAGGCTTTGCACTTTACCATTTTCTCGAGAACACGTGCCAATAAATATGAAGTTATTTTGTTCCTTGATTTTAATGCTAGAGGACACCTGCCTCTCAGCCCGTGATCCCCACCAGGGCGGGGACTGGGTTCTGTCAGTGCTGGTTCTCCAGAACCTTGAACAGTGTTTGCCACCCAGTTGTAATGGACGCTTCATAATAAATATTCCTAGCTGTTTTGAATGTATCTGCTTCCTTTTCTCTCTCCACTACCTTTATGATTTGGGGGAACATGGGTGTATCCTAAACCTCTCATGGCCTCTGTTTCCTCTTTTTGGGCGACATGATCCCTTTGGGATCAGGGGTCAAGGACAGGACTGATGAGTAAAGGAGGTTCAGAAAGGAGTATTGCTTGGAAAGGGTATAGGGAAGAGCCGGGAGGCAGTGGTGGCTGCCGAGGGGCCAGGGCAGTGTGACATTGACTCTGGAGCCAGATAGTGTCATTTTTGGTTCCAGCACTTCCTGGCTGCATGAGTTTTGGCTGGTTACTGACCCATTCTGGGCCTTAGTTTCCTAATCTGTACAATGGGGGTTGGGGGTTGTACCCGCCTCATGGAACTTTGTAGTTGACATGACTATAGACATGAGTCATCATTTGTAAAGTGCCCAGGACAGCCCTGGCTCAAAGGGGTAACAAACCCTCTTGTTGAATGAGGAGCTGCAGAACTATGTGCTTCCTGGCAGCCTGGGACTCCGGAGAAAGACTGCTCTAGCCTTCCCTGTGGTCCAGTTGGGGGGATTCCAGCCCTCCATGGCTGCTCACTGAGCCCGGGGTAACCATGTAAGGACTCTGAACTAGAATACACACTGGTGCATTTGGGAGGATGGGTTTGGGTTGTGTGTCCACCCGTACAGCATAGCAGAGGGTCATGAACCAAGAATGAGAGAACAAGAGTTTGATTTTATTTTTAGATAGAGGGGAAGGGAGGGGGAAAGAAAGGGAGAGAAACATCAATGTATGGTTGCCTCTCACACGCTGCCCCCACTGGGAACCTGGCCTACAACCCAGGTATGTACCCTGACTGGGAATTGAACCGGTGACCCTTTGCTTCACAGCCTGTGCTCAACCCAGTGAGCTACACCAGCCAGGGCAAGAGTTTGATTTTTTTTTAAAAGTTACATAAATAAGCCCTGGCTGGTGTGGCTCAGTGGATTGAGCACCGGCTTGCAAATTAAAGGGTTGCCAATTCAATTCTCAGTCAGGGCACATACCTGGGTTGTGGGCTATGTCCCCAGTGAGGGTGTGTGTGAGAGGCAACCACACACTGATGTTTCTCTCCCTCTCCTTCTCCCTCCCTTCCCCTCTCTAAAAATGAATAAAATCTTTTTTAAAAAGTTTCTGGGAGAGTAGATCTTTAAAGTTCTCATCACAAGAAAAAAAAAATACTGAGGTTTTCCTAAGGAAGAAGTATCAGCTCTTAAGAGTTTTCAGCCTGTGTGGCTTGGTGGGTTGAGCGCCAACCAGCAAACTCAAAGGTCACCAGTTGGGGGTGATCCATGTTTCTCTCCCTTTGAACTCCTGGACACACTACTTATTTACTGCTTATGTGATCTTTCACAACTTGCTTGTTCTTAGCACTTAGGGTTATGTGGATACAGTTGTAAGAGAGGCCAGGAAATGAACATTATGATAACAGTTAACAATGGATATGGCCCTACTATGTGCCAAGCCATTTTCAAGTGCTCAGTGTGTATTAACTGATTTAATCCTTGCAATAATCCTAGGAGTTTGGCCTAGTGTTACCTTCATTTTACAGGTGGGGAAACCAGGGCTCTGAGTGGTCATGTGACTTGCTTGAGGACACCCAGGGAGTAAGATGCTGAAGTGTAGAGTGGGAAAAGCACTCAGCTTGTGTAAGATGTGATTGAGATAATGATAAAGCTTTAATTTAGAAAAATGCACTCTTTTTATCAAAAAGGCATTCAAAAGCACTACTGCCAGATGAGCCAGCATTCCCACCCTTGGCTGAATACATGTGTGTATTCATTAAAAACCCATGTTCACTCCTTTTTATTGTTGAGAAGTATTCCATTGAATGGGTACACCATGGTTTGTTTATCCATTCATCACTGATGAACATTTTGGTTATTTTGAATAAAACTGCTGTGGAGCGCGGGCCTGCGAACCAGACAATCACGGTTTGATTCCCAGTCAGGGCACATGCCCAGGTTGCAGGCAGGTTCCCTGCAGGCCAGTTCCCAGCAGGGGACGCACAAACGCAACCATGCATTGATGTTTCTCTCCCTCTCTCCTTCCCTTCTCCTCTAAAGATAAATAAATAAAAATCTAAAAAAAACCCCAACAACTGCTGTGGAAAAAAACCCATGTTCACATAAAACTCATGAACCAGTGTTTATCAAGGTTTTATTCATAGTTACTGAAAGCCATTAAAACTTAAATGTCCTTCAGTGGGTGAATGGATGAACAAACTGATCCAGCAACAAGATGGGATACTCTTCAGCCATAAAAAAGAAACAAGCTGCCCTGGGTGGTGTGGCTCAGTGGATCGAGTGCTGCCCTGTGAACCGGAGTCAGCAGTTTGATTCCCAGTCAGGGCACATGCCTGGGTTGCAGGCCAGGTCCCCAGTTGGAGGTGTGCAAGAGACAACCAGACATTGATGTTTTTCTCCCTTTTCCCCTCCCTTTTCCTCTCTAAAAATAAATAAAATAAAATCCTTTAAAAAAGAAAGAAACAAGTTACTGATATTGGAAATAATGCAGATGAACCTCAAATACATTGTTAGTGAAAGAAGGCTGACTCAAAAGGGTCTTTACTGTGTGATGCCATTTTATAGGACCTTCTGGAAAAGGCAAAAGTATTGGGGGAGAAAGTGATTGTCAGGAGCTGGGACCTGTTATTGAGTGGTACAGGAGAAATTTTTGGGATGACGAGTATGCTCTGTATCTTGTCTGGGGGTGGTTATACTGCTGTCTGTATTCAGACTATACACTGAGAAAAATTAATTTTACTGTATGTAAAATATACCTCATTGAAAAAGACAAAATGAAGATTCTATGGGCTTAATGATAAAAATGATTAAAAATGGCAAAACAGGGCAGGGCTTGGGAGATCTCCCTCTGGGGCTCCTGACACAGCAGAAAGTTGCTAACCAGCCCTAGCTTGTCTGCTCTTTGCTCCACCTTCTCCCACATTCTCTGAAACAGCTCTGTACTGCTCCCCCAAACCAGGTTCTGGGAAAATCGAGATCCTACCTTACCTGCACATGGGAAATACAAAAGGAGCTTGTGAGTCAGACACAACTGAACATACCAGATCTTTGATGTCCAAATGACTGTTCCCCAAATCTGAGACCCCAGGAGGCCCCTCTTATCTTTCAGCGCTGCCAAATGCAAACCTTTCTGGAATTTTCCTTTTGGAAACTACTTTCAGGGGCTTGTTACAGTTGGCTCAGGAAACACCAAATGTGTCTACCTGTCACTGTTAGAAATTCACCACTGTGCTGGGCACGTTGAGGGCACAAGCATGATTTATCTGTCCCTAATGACAGGCACAGCCAGAGCTACTGTACAGTGTCCTGAATGGCTGTATTGAGTGACCAGTCTTCATTTCAAGGGTGGATTTGATTTTTGCTGACAGCTCGGTTACCGGAAGCCAGATGAAGCCAACAGGGGGTCCTCACTCCTGCACTAACTGTCAAAACTAAGGAAGAATTCTCTTTGGGAGAGCTGCTCCTGCCTTCCTATGAGCCTCTTATGCGTGAACAGGGTGGAAATTATTTGTATGCCTTTGATGGCACACAGCACAGTAGATTCACAAAATGATTTGGTTCCTGTTGAATGAGTGTGCAGTTCAGGAAAGCAGTCTCAAAAAAGGAATTCCAGAATGTTCCAAGTCTGTAGAAATGTGTGTGCAGTCTCTTCAACAATGTCATTTATTTGGCAACAACACCACATTATCTAGCTGGAACCCAGTGATATGGAAGATGCATCTACTTAGACCACACCAGAGAAAATGAAAATCTCTAGAACTGGCAAAGTAGCAAAATGTAGCTAGGTTTTAGAGTTCAATCCTGCACACTCAACAACTCACAATTAGACATCTCAAGTAATTCAATTTGGTAGGATTTTAACTTGTGGCCTTGGAGTACTCCCCTGTCCCCCTTAAATAGGGCAGCAAGGACGCCTGTTGGGACACAGGTTTCAAGATACGATGAGTCCTACAACTAGAAAAGGATAGGTGCTTTTGAAAGTGCAGTTTTAAAACAACTTTGTGCTTTCATTTGTTTTGTCCACATAGGCACACTGAAAAAGATAGTGAGTTTCTGAAGACCACAGTAGTCCCCAAAAGCTGTTGCTTCAGAAGTTTCTAGAACTGAACCTGGATGATTAAGGGCTCAGCAGTGACTCACTCTCACCCCACCCCACTCCCCTATGATTCAGAGATGTACCTTAGAGGACTTCTCCCTATCTCCCTGATGTCAGGTCTCTGGGTACAAGGGTGCAACTGTTGATGATGTCTCAGGAGCAGGCCTGGAACTGGGAGGAAAGAAAAGTTGAGGGAGTGTGCCAGGTGCTGCCCACTCAGCCTGTCCTGAAGTCTTGAGTGTTTGCATGATGAGACCACGTGTGTGTATGTGTTAGCATCCAACCTCTCAAGCCCATTTATGACAAAACATGGCAGGACCCCAGGCCAGCACTGTCCAGTAGAACTAGTAGTATGTATACAATTGCCTGCCACAAATGTGAGCTATGTCTGTGATTTTCAGTGTTCCAATAGGCACATTAAAAAAGTTGAAAGAGCCCTGGGTGGTATGGCTCAGTGGATTGAGCAGGGGCCTGTGAAGCAAAGAGTCACTGGTTCAACTCCCAGTCAGGACATGTGCCTGGGTTGCAGACCAGGTCCCCAGTAGGGGTCACATGAGAGGCAACCACATATTGATGTTTCTCTTCGACTCTTTCTCCTTCCCTTCCCCTCTCTCTCTAAAAATAAATAAATATATTTTTAAAAGCCTATAGACTTAAAAAAAAAAGTTAAAAGAAACAGGGGAACTTAATTTTAGTAATGTGTCTTAGTCCAATGTGTCCAAAATATCATTTCAAGGTGTAATCAACATAAAAGGTTATGCATTTTAAAAAACTTTTCATACTATTTTTTGAAATTAGTGTGTTTGACATTTATACAGCACATCTTAAACTGGGCCAGCCATATTTCAAGGTGACCATATTGCCAGCTTCATATGGTGACCTTACCCGACAGCGCAGGTGGAGACAAATGTGGGGGAACAGGAGCTTGCATTGCAGTGAAGACACCTGCCAGGGTGCAAGGTTGGGAGAATCTTAGGGTGCTTTTCGCCAATTTCTCCTTTCTTGCCCCTCCCATTCAGGACAGATATGGGTCCCTTCCAGCCAGGCACTTCAGCCCACTCTCCCAGCCCCTAGCCTCTCCCGTTGCTCCCCAGTACTCCAGCGGCCGCCCACTTCGGAATTCATCCAGCTTCGCTGCCCACCTAGTGGATGTTGCCCTTCTGTCACTCAACTTCTTGCTCCCGCCCCCGGCGTTGCAGTAACCGTCGCTTCCCTTGGTTTCCACAGCGACGCCACCAAGGGGCGGGGAAAGGGGCCCGCGGCCCGGGGACCAATTTTGATTGGTGCGGGCTACGCCCCTTTTTTCTAGTCCAGTCATGCCTGCGCTCCGCCCCCTCGATGGATTCCGCAAACTGGTTGGCCATCCCTAAGATGGAGATCGGCTAGTTTTTCCTCAGACCATCCCGCAGGGCGGGGATGAAGGTGGGCGCCGTACACGCTGATTGGCTGGAGGAGGACGCGCGGCAGGGAGGGGAGGGGCGGAGACGCAGCCAGGGTTAGTCTGGCGCGGTGGTAGTGAGCGCCTGAGGGACCAGTCTTTCATCGCGCGCTGGTAGGCAGAAGCAGTAGCGGCCACAGTAGTCGCTGTGTGAAGGAGACATGAAGCATTATGAGGTAAGAAACGAGAAAACGGAGACCGACCGGTGGCCGCAGACCCATTCTTTTTCTTCATGGGACCACGGGGTCTCCCTTTCTAGTCCTATGCTGGATGAGGAGCCGAAGGGCGCAGGCGCAGTGGGTGCAGTTGTGCCCCGGGGCTGCTCGTAAGTGTCAGTGCGCATGTGCAGAGGAGGTATTTATAATTCTGCAAACCAGGCTGTTTTGGGGGTACCTTTTCTTGGGGGAGTCTCCGCCAGACCTGCTTGTAGCTCCAGCAGGCAAAGTTGCAGGCTTTGGCTGTGAGGAGGGACGCTGCGGGACTTTTGCCCGCGTTGCGTGGGTGTCTTGCCCAAACCTTGCGCCATGCTGCCTCCTCAGGCTTAGGAAGGGGTTTTGCTGTCAGCCCTCTTTGGCACAACCTTTGGACCCCTTCCCTCGCCCAGGACGTTCCGAGAAGCTTAGGAGATGAGGGAAGTGCTGCCAGGGCTGGCTCTGGCCAAGCTGGAAAGCTTATCTGGTTTCCTAGTAATCTAAGAGATCATCTTTGTCAATCCTTGTGTGTCAGCGTGGACAAAACTCACGCCCACAGCCACTCTTGAAGCCCGTCTTCTGACTCTTAATCTGGGTTTCTTTTTCTCGTAAAACAAACTATTTTCATGCACTTATAGATCTCTCTGATAGCAGTAACTTTGTTATCATTTAGTTATTGCTGACTTTTAAGTAACATTGAATATTAAGATAATTTACTATTAGAAATGTTAATTATAACCATTTAACAAGTGCTCACTCTTGTGTTAATGAGATTCTGTTACCTCGTTCTCTTATCCTCGTAGCCTATGAAGTAGGAGGCTATTATTGTTATTATTTCCATTTTTGTAGATGAAGAAACAGCCTGAAATGTCAAGTGACTTGCCCAAAGGTTCCCAGCTAGTAAATGCAGAGCAGAGAGAGAAACTCAGAACTTCAGAGTCTTAGCTACTAGTCACTGTGGCATATTGGTCCCCAAATGAAAATTAGCAGGTCAAGGGATTTCTTGTTGTTTTCTTCCCCCTCCCAGTTAAAAAATTGTGGTAAAATACATATAAAATTTACCATATTTCCTCTTTTTAAGGGTACAGGTCAGTGGCATGAAGTACATTCTCATTGTTTTGCAACCATCACCACCTCCAGTCTCTAGAACTCTGTTTTTCATCTTGCGAAACTGAAATTCTGTGCTGGTAAAATATTACCTTCCTGTTATCCCCTCTGCCCAGCCACTGCCACTCTACTTTCTGTCTCCATGAATTTGACTGTGGTTAGGTACCTCATATAAATGGGAGGGCTAATTGTTTTTATTCATAAGTCGAATATCACTATCTCTGCCTACCTCTTTTATAATTATTATTTTTCGTAAATTCACTCAGAATCTTTTGAAACTTAACCAATAAGTCCTCAATCATTTTTGACATGGCACTAAGAAAAAGTAGGTAGGGATTCAGTTATCTCTCATGCCCCATTCAACTTTGTGATTATTATATATAAAGTTCTTTGAATATAGTTTTCCCTTTCAAACCCTCTGTGTAACCCTAGAGAAAAAGCCATATTCAGTTTGAAGGATGGAAAGTCCATGTGGCAGTTTGAAAGTAGAGTTTTAATTTTCTTTTTAAATTTATTGGGGGGTCACATTGTTTAATAAAATTGTATGGGTTTCAAGTGTACAGTTCTATAATTTGTCATCTGTATATAGCATTGTGTGTTTACCACTCAAGTCAAATCTCTTACTAGTTAGTAGTCAGGTAAAGTAGGCCTCTGAGAACTCTTGGGGTGGGCACTTTTGTTCTGGGAAGCTGGGCACAGCCTGAGACCTATGGTTTCAGCATGAAGAACATGCTTTTTGCCTTACTCACACCTTTTCCCTCCCACGAGGAATGGGGAGCTTCAAACCTAGTGTTCAAAGTGACCGTGGAGGAAAAAAAAATAGTTAATTTGCGGTTCTCTGTTATTCTTTGCTAACCTTTGCCAAGTACCCACTGAAGTGATAGCTGCAGAGTTTCTGGATGGGAGGAGCGTTTGTCTCCCTGTCCAGTGTACACAGGAAGCAGATTAGTTTTACTCCAGGTGTTTTTTTGCAGATCAGTAAAAATTGCACGGATGCTTTCTCTCATATTTAGCAAAGATTGATAAAAAGGTTTTAGTTACTGTCCACATCAAAGACTATATTTCTGTTTGGAACTAAGTCTCCCCCTAAGTGACTCCCTCTGCACTGAGAGATTAGCTCCCTCAAAAGGCCTTTGTGGCCTCCAGAGGTTTCTTGTAGATGATAAAGTGCAGTTTACAAGTGATTAAAGTGCAGTTTGTGAGTGTTAGAAATGTTACACAGAAAGGTGCAGGACTAGCACAGTGTCACACAGCAAGCTCACCAGGGCTGATGATATCTGATGTTGTGGCTGTTGGAATTGCAGCTGTAGGAAAAGTTTGTTGGAGTTTATTTGCCTGCCTCCCTTCTGTGATCTCAGATTAAAAAAAAAAAAAAGTATCCCTTCAGTGGCCTGAGCCTAGCCGATAGAGCAGGGTGAATAAAGCAGGTCACACTTGGGCTTTAGCTGAAGCTGGCTCTTGGAAGTTGAGAGCAGCCCTTGGGATTTGTGTTGGGGTCAGAGCAAGGTAAGATAAGGGAGCTGCTCATCTCAGACTGCTGGATTTTTTATTGCAGTTTTTGCCATTGCAGATAAGTGGTCAAAACAATGATCCCAGTAGCAACTGGAAAAATAGCTATTGCATCTTGTAACAAGGGGAATTGCTACCTTTCAGCCTCCCTGAGCCTGTCACTGCTCATTTCCTGCAGCTGGGTACCTCAAGGTGAGGAAGCCTCATCCTCTTGAGGATGAGGGTTCCTCCTGCTCCCGTTTAGGATCTTCAATCATCCCACTCCACAAAGGGTAGCTCTATTGATGCCCAGTTTGTGGATGATTCTAGGCCAATATAGTCCCTCAGGCAAATTCTTGCCTCAGCTACCTCCACAGGAATACGTATGTGACAATTATTTAGAGTCAGAAAACCGAGTAGGAAGGTGAAAATTAAGGAGAGAGTAAGTACACTCCTGTTTAATGGTGTCAAAGGTATGTTAGATTTAGGGCCTGGCTGGTGTGGGTCAGTGGATTGAGGGCTGGTCTGCGAACTGGAAGGTCACTGGTTTGATTCCCTGGCAGGGCACATGCCTGGGTTGTGGGCCAGGTCCCTGGTTAGAGGCATGCAAAAGGCAACTGATTGATCTCACAACTGATTTCTCTCACACATTGATGTTTCTCTCCCTCTCTTTTCCCGTTCTCTTCCCTTCTCTCTAAAAATAAATAAATTCTTTAAAAAAAAAAAAAGGTATGTTAGACTTTGAATAGGCCTGGGCTAAGTCCTGGCTCTGCCACTCAAATTGTATGACCACAGAGGTTAAGTAAGGGCAGCTTACTTAATCTCTGTGGGCCTGTCTGTGGCTGCTCCCTGGAGTGAAATCCATGGCATTGTGACAACAAAGGCCAGGTTTCTTTTTTTGTCCATAAGTTTTAAAAATTTTTATTTTATTGATCATGCCATTACAGTTCTATTCTCCCCTTCATTCCCCTCCACCCCCCACTCCTACCATTCCCCCCTTTAGTTTATGACCATGTGTCTCAAGTTCTTTGGATTCTATATTTCCCATACTATTCTTGCCCTCCCCCTGTCTATTTTCTACCTACCGTCTATGCTACTTATTTTCTGTACCTTCTCCCCCTTCTCCTCCTCCCACTCCCCTGTTGCTAACCCTCCATGAGATCTTCATTTCTATGGTTCTGCTCCTGATCTAGCTGTCCTTTTAGCTTGCTTTTGTTTTAGATGTGGTTGTTAATAACTGTGAGTTTGCTGTCCTTTCACTGTTCATATTTTTTATCTTCTTTTTCTTAGGTAAGTCCCTTTAACATTTCATATAATAAGGGCTTGGTGATGATGAACTCCTTGAATTTGATCTTATCTGAGAAGCACTTTATCTGCCCTTCCATTCTAAATGAAAACTTTGCTGGATAGAGCAATCTTGGTTGTAGGTCTTTGGTTTTCATGACTTGGAATACCTCTTTCCAGCCCCTTCTTGCCTGTAAGGTCTCTTTTGAGAAATCAGCTGACAGTCTGATGGGAACTCCTTTGTAGGTGACTGTCCCCTTAGCTCTTGCTGCTTATAGGATTCTCTCTTTCATTTTAATCTTGGCTAATGTAATTATGATGTGCCTTGGTGTGTTCCTTCTTGGGTCCAACTTCTTTGGGACTCTCTGAGCTTCCTGGATTTCCTGGAAGTCTATTGCCTTTGCCAGCTTGGAGAAGTTCTCCTTTATTATTTGTTCAAATAAGTTTTCCACTGGTGGCTGTTCCTTTCCCCCTTCTGGTACCCCTATAATTCAGCTGTTGGAGTGTTAAAGATGTCCTGGAGGTTCCTAAGTCTCTCCTCATTTTTTCGAATTCTTGTTTCTTCATTCTTTTCTAGTTGGTCATTTTTATCCTCCTTCTGGTCCACTCCTTTGATTTGAGTCCCAGTTTCCTTTCCATTACTATTGGTTTCCTGTGCATTGCCATTCATTTCAATTAGTTTAGCCTTCATATGTTCCTCTAGTTTGTGACTAAAATGAACCAGTTCTGTGAGCATCCTGGTCACCAGTGTTTTGAACTGTGCATCTGAAAGTTTTGCTATTTCTTCGTCACTTAGATTTATGGGCTCTGGGGCTTTGAGATCTTCTTGAGCCATTTTTGGTCTGTTTGCGCCCATGAAGTATGAGGAGCGGAACCTTAGGGGCAGGTGGGGCCTCCAGGGCGGGGTGGCTAGGTTGTGACGCTGTATGTGGTGGTGGGGTCAGAGTGGGGAAATGGCGTCCCCCTCTCCTGCTTCCCGCCGCTGAGTGAGGAGCGAAGCCTGAGGTGTTCACCAGGGTAGGGTTGCTCAGGTCCCTGGATTGTGATGCTGTATGTGGGGGCGGGGTCAGAGCCGGGAAATGGCGGCCATCTCTGCTGCCTCCTGTCACCGGGACCAGCTCGGTCCTGTCTCACTGTCTACTCCCTCGCTGGTCTATCTGCGCAGGAATGCGCCAGCAGAGTCAAGCCGCTGCGCCCTTCACCCTTGCCAGATCCGCCGGTCGCTCACTGGGTCAGCCCTTTGCAACCCCACACCTGGGATCCATGCGCCTGAGTCCCTCTGACCTAGGTCTGTCTGATTGCTCATTGATAGAAGAATCAGAGCCATAATAGTGTGATGATGATGATGATGCTGATGCTGACGGCCACCAGTGGTTATCGAGTCCTATGAGCACCTGATCCAGGTGGGCAGGGATATTTCTTCTACTTTACATCCTGCATTGATCCTCTAGTGATGCTGCTCCAGGCAGCAGGTAGCTGTGCATGTTTCTGAGGACACACCCTTGGCTGGAGGGTGGGAGGGGAGCTGTGGGCTGATATGGAGAGAGGGTCTCCCTCTTGTTGCCCAGGGTTATGACTTCAAGGCGTTATCCCTCTGATGAGCATGAAATGAGCAGGTGTATGGAAAGTACTTAACTCAGGGTCAGGCACTGCACAGCAGCTAACATTTAATGAGTCCTATTGATCTGCTTGCCTTCAGGTGTCACGGTGCTGAATTGGAGGAGGTGGGGTGGGGTGGGGTGGAGTCAGGCTGGGCCGAGGTGGACAAGGCAGGGCCTAGGTGGAGGAGGCAGGTAGAAGGAGCCCAGTGGGTGAGGGTAGGCTCCAGGTGGGGCAACTGAGCTGCACTGGCTGAGACTGGGAGTGGTCCTGAGCTTAGCAGAGCCCTTTGAATAACAGGTTCCTGAGGAGAGAGGAGGTGGAGGGTTGACAGCCCTGAGTGGGAATGCGCTTGGAAGGGACTTGTCTTCTTGTGACAGGCCTGTTTGGTTGGGCATCCTGCACTTTCACTGACAGGCTTGGCTGGTGAGAAAGGCCAGAGATCTTGTTGGGCTGGTTGGTCAAGTTCAAGCTAGATCTTAACACCCTCTTGCTGATATTGACAGTGGCAGCTGAGAATGTTTGAATACAGGAAATAGCCAGAGCATCATCATAATAATAAAAAGAATAAAGCTACTGCCAGCTTTGTCACTCTAAGTGCTTTTTATCTAATAACTTATTTAACCCTCACAGTAAACTTAGGAGGTAGATACTGTTCTTATCCCTCTTTGACAGATGGGGAGACCGAGGCAAAGTGATGTGCCCCTGGTCACACAGTGAGTGGCAGAGCCCAGTTCTACCAGACCTCAAGTGGACTTTGCTGTGTGTGGGCCCAGGTTGTTATGCACTGAGGAAGGAATGAAGTGTGTGGTCATGAAGGGGTTGTATGGAGGCCTCCAAGGGAGTCCGCCCTTGGACTTTTGCGCTGCACAAGTTCCAGTTTTCTCACCTGTGAAGTCAGGATGAGGACACCTGTCTCAGAGGGCCACTGGGGAGTGGGATGTGCCCAGCACACTTCCTGGCCTTCAGTCGCGGTACAAAGCATAAGGTGGATAAGGACAAATCACGGGGCAGATAGACAAGTCTGCATCAGTGAGGCCAGCTGAAATGTTTTCTGCATGTGGTCTCTTTTGAATGCCTCCAAATCTGTCACTGAACAGGGCCAGTCAGGCTTCTGGAGACAGTTTCATGCTAATAATATGCCCAGCAGGTGGGAGAAGCAGCCCAGAAGGCAGTGACCAGTTTCGATACACTAAGTTACATTTTGGGATGGTCCGCTCTTTTCTGCTCAGTGGGAAGATCCTCAGTAGTCAGCGTGCTCAGAACCTACTTTTTAACTTACTGTAACAAAGAACCATACAGGGCAGCAGTGCTGGGTCACAGCCTCCTCACCCAAGTGTGTAAACAGGAGGATCTTAGCATTCTGGCTCACTCCTTTTGAGGCTTCTTGTCATTCTCTGCTCCCTGCTTTCCTCACTTACCACTACATCCCCCTTCTCAAACACTCACAGCCTTGTTGCTGCTCTTCCTGAGCATGTGCTCTTCCTTCTGTCCTTCCCATGCCTTGTTGCCTCTGGTTGTGGAGAGCTCAGCTTCAGTGTCCTGCTGAGAGGCCTTCTTGGACTATCCTGTCTGGAGCATAACCCCTGCCCTCACCCCCCAGAGTCTGGTCTCCCTTTCATGGGCTGTGTCTGGCTGTGGTCTTTTCATTTGGGTACTTGCTGGTCTTTCTGCCCCTCTCAGACTGAGTTCTGTGAGGGCGGGGATTCGGTGTCTTGTCCCTGCAGCTCCCCCCAGGATCTGGGTGAGTGAATGCATCTTCTTCTTTCCGTCAGGCTCATGGGGAGCATAAGGGCGAGAGTGGGGTGTGTTGCAGGGACCTGGATGAGTCTGGTGACTCACATGGTGGGCTGCGGGACCTCATTTGGCCAGTCCTTAGTGCTCCTGACCTAGGGAAGGCAGCTTCTATGGCTCCTTGACCACGTGCTTGGGGTCTACTCCACCTCAGCCGGCCTACTCCCCATCACCCCACCCTTTCTGTGAGAGCTGCCAAAACTGCACCTGGGCTCGCCCCTCCCTGCACAGGTGGCCCGCAGGTTCTGTTGGTCCAGGTGATCGCCTGCCCTGGGACTTATCTGTTTCCAATCTGTCATTTCTTCATTAGTGCACTTGTTTCAACATACTATTTTTCTCTTTACCTATTAAACGCCCCGAATACTGGGATGAAGGAATCACAGCCTCTGCCCTCAAAGTCTTTCACCTAAGTGAGGCCTGAGGGAGGGGAGGGGAACAGCGTGTGCAGAGGCCTGGAAGCCAGACCTTTGTGGGTGTCCCTCATCAAGAGATGGGGCCTGCCGGGCAGGGCTTTGTAGCCACCCAGATGCCTGTGGACTTTATCCATAGGGTGATGGAAGTCCCTTTTTCCTGTTGATTTTACCTAAAAGGTTAACTTCCAGGAGGTGGCTTATTTTTAAGACCTTGTAGGCCCTCTTGTTGCTCTGTTTGTTACATAAATGCTCAGCGTAGTGCCCTGTTGACAAGTGGTTAGTTAGAGATGGGCCATAGCCTTTTTAAGCTCTTGGAGGGATAAAGGGCCTCTCAGTAGCTTGCAGTGACTGGCAGGCTGGCACAGCCCTGTCCCTGTCCCTGCTCGAACCAGGCTGTTATGTAAGCTGAGTCCCCAGGCCATTCAGTTATCCCAGGAGACTGCAGGGTTTGTGCTGTACTCTGGGCCTCTCTGAATTCTTTTTTATTTCCATTTAAAGAGATCAAGGGAGCATTGCCAGTTGTGTGGTGGGGCCCATGGGAACAGCGTCTGACCTCAGGGTTGGCCATGTTTGGGGCAGGGTGGTTTAACACTGGGAGCTGGGGCCTCACCTCAGGAAGCAGGTTGAAATTTAAGGGGAGTGTCGCAGATGGAGCCTCTAGTCTTATGGGGAGAAGCTGGCTCCCAGGCACCTCAGGAGTCTGACTCAAGAAGGGGCTGGGGGCTGCTGCACCAAGGCTTCTCAGGAGGGGGGGTTGGGGGAGCATATCTCTCAAGGGGGGGTGAGGGTAATATCAGAGTTCTTGGGGAGTTGTATAGTCTGAAACAATATATTGTTGAATACTATTTGCTCTAGAGAATCAAGTCTAACAGTCTCTAGGCTCGGGGTGAGGATAGTCAGAGGACAGGACTTGAGTTCGGCTGGGTAGCCCCAGTACTGGGATGGGTTGGGGAGAGGCTACTCTTCTCTGGGAATCCTGTCATTCAGGTTTCAGCTCCAGTGTCACCTCCTTTGAGAGGCTCCCCCTGACCCAGCCAGGCCACATGGTCACTTCTCCTGTTTAGTTCTCCACATAGACTTGGCACCTTCCGAGAGGATGTGTGTGTGAGCCCCTCGCTCTCTGCTCTCCTGTTGATCCCCAGCTCCTGGCAGGGCTCAGCAGACTGTGGAGGGAGTGATTTTGTGTGTCCGGTAGAGACGTTAGAGACCCTGTCCTACAGAGCGAGGTTCACTGCAGGCCTGGGCAGTTAGGCAGATCACCTTCCACCCTACCCTGCGCCCCTCCCTCCCCCCACAGAGGGCACTGCAACTCAAGGGGGAAGGACCTTTACGTGTTTGTGGGGTGCATGACTGTTTTATGGACTGGAATTTCTCGCTTGGTGAGCATGTAGCTTTGCTGCATTAGTGTGGGCCCTCTTCTGTTTTGAAGCTGGTTACTGCTCATCTTTAGTGATTTTGGAGTTTGGCCATCCTTTTTGAGCCAGAGTTACCTGAACTCTGAGTTGCCCTGTCAGGATAAGATGGCGATCCTGTGGAAAGTGCTAAAAACCTTGATCATAAGTCCCCAAGAACATTTCCTGCCAGGCTCCTTCCTCTAGGCTAGCCCGGGAACTTCACTGCTTGCCGCAATCCGGTTCACGTGGGGGTCTCAGTGGACAGAACCATTTCTGGTGATGTGAAACCACTTCAAGTCTCCCTGCTGGACCTGGGAACACGCACCATCCAGGGAGAAAGCACGGGGAAGGTCGTCCATGTCAGGACTCCTAGATTCCTTTCCTGTCGCTTTATTTCACTTTCAACCTGAGGGGCAGAGCCGAACTGGCCGAAACCTGTGGGGCTCACAGGTGGGAAGACAGCCATGGGTGTCTTCCTGGGCTTCTCTCTCAACAGCTAGGGCTGACGGCTTTCAGTTTACCTTTCCCTTGGTAGAGGTGGCTAGGCCTGTTGAACGTTTCAGAAAACCTGTACCCCTCTGTTGCGTTTGTTACTACTCCATCTTCATCCCAAGATGCACATTTTTCCTCTCAGCATTTTCATGTTCCTTCCTCAAGTTGGGATGCATCTTATTGATATTTATATATCTTATATTGACATAGGAAGTTGTTTTTTTTTTTCTCTCTTAAAAGTTGGCAGCTGGTTTTGAATCAGTGACAACTCAATGCAGAAAGTAGGGAGTCATTTTCACCACTTGCCACCTCTGCCCCAGTCCAAGCTCCCAGTGGCTCTGGCCTGGGTGGTTTCTGAGACTCTCACTGCTGCTCCCCACCCCCAGCTCCCATGGTGGGAGGGATCCTTCTCAAACCCAGACCAGGTTGTGACACTCCAGCACCTTCCCAAAGGGCTTGTCTGGGCTGCCCTTCCAGCCTCCTCCTCAGCTGCTTGCTCTCCAGTTCACTTTGCTCCAGCCTCTCTGTGTTCCTGAGCCCTGGGAAGCTCTGTGCTGCCTCAGGACCTTCGTATCTCCCCCACCCCCACCCCCCACCAGTGTTATGGTTTGAATCAAGCCTTATGGTTTGATTCAAATCACACTTTCTTAGAAAGGCCTTCCCTAATCACTCCTGTGGCACTCTGGTCCTCTGACCTTCCCTCCCTCCCTCCCTTCCTTCCTTTTTCAGATTTTAAATTTGTTTTTAGAGACAGGAAAAGGGAAAGAGAAAGAGGAGAGAAGCATCAGTGTGCGGTTGCCTCTTGCTCACCCCCTACTGGGGACCTGGTCTGCAACCCAGGCTGGAAATTGAACTGGCGACCCTTTGGTTTGCAGGCCGGCACTCATTCTACTGAGCCGCACCAGCCAGGGCTCCCTTTGTTTTCTTTATGGTGCCTGGTACATCTGGACCTCATGTTACATGGTAGGTGCTTTGCCCATGTTCCCCTTGAGTGTGAGCAGGGGAACACGTTCCCCTTAGCCGTGGTGGGCTATGACCTCTCTGGGCCGTGCTCACTGTTGTGTTCCATTACCTGGAACACCGCTGCCCAGCACCCTGCTGTCACAGGTTTTTCTGCTCATCCTGAAGCCCGGCACATAGCATGGGCTGGCACATGAACGGGCTCAGTGAGTGTTTGCTGAAAGAATGAAGAATGGGAACTTACTTGTCAGTAGAAAAGGCTTTGGGGGGTTTCAGGTACCCCTCTGTACACTGTTGAGCCCTTTGCAGGTTTGCGGGCAGCAAGCACACTCTCGCTTTGTGTGGGCGCAGGTCCTGGCTTCTGGTGTGGTGGGGTTTCCCTGGCTCAGGCCAGCTGCCCCTGAGGGGCACAGGGTTGCTGTGCAGGAGGTGGCTACAACCACCCTCAGGGAGAGCCCACTGGCTCACTCTCATGTACTAAGGTGTGATGACCTAGGTTGGAGCTCCTTTGGTCCAGATAGACGCCCAGGAGATGGGCAGCCCTAGGAGCTGAGGCTGGACCGGGAGAAGGGGCCTGGATCTCTCGCCCTGACCTGGTAACACCTACCATGCCACTTGGCTGTTGGGGACCTGCATGGGGGTGAGAAAGTGAGCGATGCCCATCCCTGGGGACCAGGTCCTATTGCCAGTCCTGGGACTGGGTCCCAAGTCTTCATTTTCAGAAAAACAGTGGGGGGGTGCCCGCCTAATGGGCTAGCTGTTGTAACAGAAGCAGCCCTAAGTGATCCGTCAGTCAGTGAGCATGGCGGTGCTCCAACACAACTTTGTGGGTATTGACATCCGAATTTCATGAAACAGGCTTCTTTTGATTTATCCAACCATTCTTAGCTTGTTGGAAGCAGGCAGTGGACCAGGATTGGCCTGTGTGCTATAGTCTGCTGATCCCTTGGTCTAAGCCATCCTTTATTTGTGACAGAATTATTCCCATAGCCTACTTTCACCCTTATTTCCTTCATTCAGAGAGATCCTTTAAGAACCCAAGTCAGGTTGCGTTCCTGCTCTGGCCGAACTCTCTATGGCTCCCACCAAACTCAGAGTAAAAGCCAAAGTCCCCACCCGGCCCAGGATAGCCTGCACAGCCTGTCCCCACCCTGCCCTCACCTCCTCCCACTCCCACCCTTGCGCCTCCCTCCAGCCGCAGGGTCCTCTGCTCTGCTGCTGGAGCACACGAAGCAGGCTGCACAGGCCGTTCTCTGCCTGGCTGCTGTCCCCGGAGCTCTGAACTGTGCTCTTTCCTTCACTGCCTTCAGGGCTTGCCTCCTTTCAGGGAGGGACCACTTTATATGAAACTGTACCTCCCTTCACCTGCCACCCCACCCCCTTTTTCTATGGCAGATGTCATCTTCTAATATGTTATGTGTAACTGTTTAATTGCCTCTGTTCCCTGACCAAAATGTCAGCTCTGCATGGGCAAGGATTTCTGTTTCTCCTTCCACGGCTGAATCCCTAGATCTCTTAACAGTGCGTGGTGTGTAGTAGGTGTTCACTCAGTATTTATGCAGCGAATGAGTAAGACTCGCCTGCAAAAGGGGGTTAATAGTAAAGGAGATAATTCTTGTGGAGGACATGCCTCAGCGTCTGGCACGTTGTGAGTGCGTGGGAGGTGTTAGCTGCTGCTCCCCGTATAAGGCTGGCCACATGGACCCCAGACCAGCTATTCTGCAAGCCGAGCTCCCCAGGGTGGACTAACCTGCCTGCTGCACTTGGCCTGGGAGTGCTGGGCACAGGTCGGGGGGTTGGCCCAGTTGAGTTCCTCCTGCCGCTCTGATCAGCCTGCGTCCACAGGGGTCAGCATCTCTGGCCTCTTCCAGCTTCCTGATCTGACAGTGCCTTCCTGCCTAGAGATACAAAGACCACATGTGGTCACCAGCCTTGACCTGGCCATGGGGTACAGGGGTGCAGATCTGGGCCATCCCCTGGGGATCTGGGTTTTGGGATGGCTCTGAAGGAAGAGTATTCAGTTCCTAAGGAGCAGAAACAGATGAGGTCCTGGTTCTGGAGCTTGTAGCCCATGTGCCCTTGAGCTGATGACTCTGCACTTCGGCCTCCTCTGTGTGTCGTGTAACAGCTGATCTAAAAGGGAGCCAGTGGTGGTGGGGGGCTCTGTGTACTCACACCCAGGGGAGGAGGGGGCAGGAAGGGGGTGGGGAGTGGCGTTAGGGGTTGGCTGAGGCCCCACTGCAAGGGCCTGGGAGGGCCTAGGAGGGCTGTATCAGTGGGTCTTCTTCCAGAAGGCAGGGTCTATTTGAGGGAGGCAGCCCAGGTTGGGGAGTCACCTCCATCTGCCACCTGGGAACATTTGAAGCTGTGGATCCTGGGCTCCACTGGAGATCCTGATTTCCGTCTAGGTTGTCACACAAGCAGGTGGGGGTCAGGACCGCTGGGCAGGGCTTCTGCCTTGTGTGTCACAGGAGTCATCTGTGTTGGGTCCTCTGACGAACTTTCCCATTGACAGACGGAGAAGCCAAGGCTCAGGCTGGGAAAGTGGGTCAGACTCTGGCCCGCCCGTGGCACTGCTTTTCTGGGCCTGCTGGTGGCCTTAGCCTGTGACAAGAAAACGTGCAGGAAGTGTTTAGATAGCTGCTAAGCCTGCCTAGGCCTCTCTGTGTGGAATCAGGAGGTGACGAGCCTTTTGCCCTCCGTAAGGCCTGACCTTGGGGCCAGGGGAGGGTGAGGCCGTGGAGGAGTGGGCTCAGTGGTCTGGCTCCCCTGCAGGGCACGCCCCGTGGAGGTGGCATGTTCTGCTGAGTCAAGACCTTCCAGGCCTACGTGCTGAAGTTGGAGTGTCAGCAGGGAGGGGGGTGCCTTCCAGATAATACAGTCCAGGGTTTGCTTTTTTCTGTTAGCATTTAGTCCTCTTCAGAGTGGAGGTTGTATTGCATCATGGTGCTGAGCAGGGGCTGTAGGCCCAAGCAGGCTTGGTTGGTATTGGCTCTGGCACTTCCTGGTTACCTGTCTTGGGCAAGGGCTACCTTGTGAGCTATCTAACGGGTCACAGGCATGGGTGAGGCTGGGTGAACTTTGCAGGTGAGGGTCCTAGCACACACAGTCCTTGGAATGAAGTCATCTGATACACATTACTTTCATATGGAACAGGCACAGCCTGTCACACTGCCCAGGGAGGTGCGTGGGCTGTGGGTGCTGGTGAGCTACTCTGCCAGCTTCTCCTGGCCTTGGGTCGTACAGCCTAGGGCCATTGGCATTCAGACCCTGGCACCCTTCATTTGGCCATTGGGTGTGGGGGGTGAGAGCTGGCTGGCTGGGTACCTAGGAATGGGTGGTCAGTCTCTCTGCCCTTTCCACCCTGGGTGATGACATTCTGCCTACACCACAGCTGTCCTGGGCTCCTCGGAGAAATGGGGTCACAAGGCAAGGCCACTGGGGAAGGAGGTATTTCTGGTTGAGCAGGTGTGGCCTGTGCTGGCTTCCTGGCAGCTGAGCCCAAGGTCTTTTCAGCTGCTCTGGCAGGAGCACTGTGACGGCGATATTTCTGGAAAGTGTAAGGGAAAGGGAGCCGAGAGTGCTGAGCCTCTGAGTCTGGGCAAGTGCTCTCAGACCTCTGCATTGGTGAAGTTGGTTAGCTGGCCAGGTGCGGAGATGGGCCAGGTGTCCGTCCCCTGTGCCCTGCGTGGTGGCTGTGGGAGCTGCAGTAGCTGAGTCCCTGGGCTGGCTGGCTGAAGGACCTGGGGGTCATTTCCGTCTCTGCCTGGCATCCTGGGTTGCTCTGAGCAGGGTTTGTACCACAGTAAGTCTCTTATGCCTGAGCCTCGGGAGATGTCCCCCTGCAGGCACAGGCTGGGTACTGCCAGGCTGCCCAGCATGCCACAGCCCAATTTAAGGGCCCTTCCCTGGCAGGCAGTCCCTGTGGTGTCCCAGAGAGCCTGCTGGAGGAGGTGTCCTGCCTTATGCAGGAGCATGAGCTCCTTCTGTGGGAGCCACTGCAGAGTGTGTCCTGGCTGGGGGCACGGTCTCAGGAGACTGTGTGTCACGAGTCTGGGCTCAGGCACGTGCATGATGTGGGTTGATTTCCTCATCTGTGAAACAGAGCTCATGGCTCTGGGGCCACCATAGGGACAAGAGAGGGTAAGGAGAGGGGGCCGGGAAACCGTTGAAATTGCAGGCCCATTGTCCTCATCCACACCCACTGAGCAGGTGCCATCTTAGGATGCAAGGAAGTTCCAAGTGCAAAAGTGGGAGGTGTTGAGGGTGACCCTGAATCCATGCTGACTCTTCCGGCCCCTCGTCCCAGGTCCTGGATGTGTGGTACTCTACCTCGAGGCTACTGAGTCTGCCTCACGCATGGGAAGAGCCTGGGAAGCGCTGGGCTGGCTGTGTTTGTAAAGTTGGGGAAACTGAACCTCAAGAAGGGCCAGGCTCCTGGCTCTGGTGACCTGCACGCTGGTGTCTGTGCCCTGTGGGTTGTGTCTGCCTGGCAGCTCATGCAGGGTGGAAAAGCAGTTGTAGACCCGGCTCTTCCACCTTGGGCTCAGGGGGTGTGTGCCCCTCTGACGGCCTCCTACTTCCTGCTGCTCCCTTATGGGGCTCGGGTAGAGACCTCAGACTTCCCCTTCTCTCACCTCCACATGCAAATCATAAGCAGATCCTGTTGCCTCTACCTTCACAGTGTGTCCAGAATTCCTACTTCTCATCCCCATCCTCACCTCCACCCTGGACTCCGAGTTCCCAGGTGGTACCTGTGAACAACTGAGTTCATACGTTATGTCCCTCTTCTCCTCTTGAACCTTCCACGGCTCCCCGCTTCACTTGAGAGTAAAAGCCAGAATCCTCTCTGTGGCCCACAAGGCCCTGTATGACCTGCCCCCGTCACCTCCCCGTCTTCATGTCCTTGTGCTCTCCCCCTCACTCATGCACGTGGTTCAGTCCACGTGGCCTCCGGCCTGCTCCACAAGCACGCTAGGCACAGTCCAGCCTCAGAGTCTCTGTTCTTGCCCTCCCTCTGCCTGGAACACTTTCCCCCAGTTGTGTGCCTGGCTTGTTCCCTCACTTCTTGCTGGCCTTTGCTTAGATGTGCCTTCCTGAGGGAGGCCTTCCTTGGTCACTCTGCCTGAAGTGGCTGCCTGCCCAACTTCTGACTTCCACCCCACTCCATTCTCTGTTTTCTTTGAAACCCTTGGTGACAAATCATGCCAGTGTTGTCTGCTCCTGCCCCCTGCTTGCTGCCTGCAACTACACACAGAGTGTAATGCAAGTCCCCCGGAGGCAGGGGCCTGGACACTGCAGTGTCCAGCCATGGGAAGAGGGGTGCAGGAATGAATGAATGGATGGATGGATGGATGGATGCAGGGCGGTGGCTCCCTGAAGCCACTTGGTTGGTAAGTGGCAGAGCTATGGTTAGTGCTCATTCTTGTGGTCCCATCCTGGTGCCATAGCATCCCATCCTGTGCTGGCATTGGGACATGGGACTGTGGAGCCAGACTGCCACCAGCACCCTTCCAGAATGTGGGACTGTGGGACGAAGGCTGCTGCCACAAGGGGGCAGCAGAGAAGTATCAGGCTCCCGCACTGTGGGGAACTGTGGTAGGGACTGTGGCAGAGGCCCCACCTCTGCTGCCCACACGTGTCTTGCTATTGTTAGGGTTCTGCTCACTGTCAGCAGCTGTATGAAGCATCATTGCACCACCTCTGTGACCTTGATGTCCTCTGGGCAGGATTTGGGGAGAAGGGGCCTGGCTCTGGGCATCTAGCAGTGTTCTTTTGCTAGTATTGGTCTGTATATTTATTCTTTATATGATTAATTCTAGGCTGGCTATGTTTATGTACTTTCTGTTTTGGTGGTTTTTATCACCTTTCTAAATCTTACAGTAATCCTGTGAGACAACAGCTGGGGCCTGCCTACTTTGGAGATGAGGAAGTAGAGGTTCAGAAAGGTTGGGTAACTTGTTTGAGGCCACACAGGCAGGAACTAGGTGAGTCTTTGGCCAGGTGCCATACACAGGTGTTGACAGAGCACAGCTCCATGCTAGGCTATGTTCAGGTGCTGGTACAGCGTGCAGCCTAGTGGGAGGTGGATGGTAAAGGTCTGGGGGCTGAAATTTTAAGTTGATAGTCAGGAAGGGCCTCACTGCAAAGTTGCCTGGAGGCTGGAGGAGGCTGGGGAGGAGCCCTGTGGGTCTGGGGGAGAGCGTTCTAGGCAGCTGAAACTGCACGTGCAAAGGCCCTGAGCATAGCTGTGCTCTCAGTGCCAGACAGGGTCCATCCCCGCAGCCTTGCCTCCCAGACAGCTCTGGGCACTGGCTGGAGCAGTTAGGTTGGAGCAGGTGCTCAGAAAACGGCATCCCTCCTTCTGCTACTGCTACCTTGATTAGCAACATTTTTATTTCCATAAGACAGTGAAGGCCAGAGGCCCTGCTGCTAGACAGTGGCTCTGGGTGCTCCTCTCTGGGCTGGGGAAGACCATTGTGGCTTTTGCTCTCTGCCCCACCCCCACAAGGTGGGCTGTGGCCTTGCCCCTTGTCCTGGTCACCTCCCCACCCCCCTCTGCCACCTCATGCTGCCATGAGTTGCTGTTGGCTGAGCCCCAGAATCTCAGGACTCTGGGTGAGAATTCCTCCCAGACTACTGAAACTGTTATCACATTCACCCCAGGCCTGGGTACCTGCTCTGTCCTTGTCCTCTGTCCATTATAGTCGGCAGGGTCACACTCCCTGCCTGCAGCCATCGATGGACCTTGGGCCAGTGACCCCCTCACAGGCCTTGCTTCATTCATCATAGAGCAGAATGTGTTGTCCCCTCCCA